GTCTAAGGGCAGATTGCCAAGCCCCGGCCTTCAGCCTACGGCCTAAACCCTAAAGCCCGACTCGCCTAACCCATGAGCCCGTAAACACAAACGCCTCAAGCCCCTAAATCCTAAACCCTTTTCACCGAACCCTCAAGCCCAAAAATGCCAAAGCAACTCTGGACCATGTAACCAAAACCATCGAGTACCCTGCTTCAGTGAAGATCAGCATTGTGCACCAGAGTTCTTGACCTGCTGTACGTCGGTGGAGCATGGATACTTGCGTATGTCCGGCCTCGATAGTGCCAACAATGGCATGACATGCAAGAATTTCAAAATCTGGAAGGCGGCTGCTTCGGGCTTCGGGTTAAGCCTCTAGAGTCCAAGCACTCAATCCGTACGCTCGATGGGCTTTGGTACTTTAAACCCCACTTGGACCCTTCGGAAACTCATCTGTACCCTACACACCTAGGCATCCTGTGACACTAAAGGGCCCTAAACTCACGGCTCAAGGAAACTGGCGTGGGTGGGTTACAACAAGTGTAGGCCGTTTTCATACCCCGCATTTCGAACCCCAAACTTTTGGCCACGGCGACATGCAAAGCCAGCACAGCTCTTCAACCATTTTCCAGTGCGGCTCTGGCCTGCAGACAATGACTGCCTACTAGCACCGAAATTACCCAAAGGTGACCTACTCGTCCCCCCACTCCTGTTCAAATCCCACTGGAAAAGCTAGGTTTTGGGGATATCCTTTCGAAGCAGGACCAGAACCCGAAACAACTATCAGGATCACCCAGTTGAACCCCTTCACATACTCCTCACTAAGCGGTCAGTTGCAAAGGGGGTTGGCTGAGAGGGAGCCAAGAAGGATCTTCTTCCTCATATCGTACTTAGCTGATATTTATGACCTTTTAAAGTAAAGCCCCTAGACCCTGAACCTTGAAACCTCAACCCTAAACCCTCAACCCTAGACCCAGAACCCTCCTAAAACCCCGACACCTCAACCCTCGGGATTCGCCTGATGCAACATCGAGGACTCCGCACCAGAGAGGTTCGTCCCGACAGGCCTTCCAGTGCGCCAGCATTGCGGGCTTGGGTTTTAGAGAGTTGGAGTTGTGGCATGTTGCAAGGCTTCATGTCAAAGTCACTGCAGTTTTTGCAAAGAGAGGAATGAGTCTAAATATCAAGAAAGTCAGAAGATGATGCAGTGCCAGGCCGATCCTCAACCAATGGAAACTGAGGAGCTACCAGCTACATCGAAAGCTCGAGAAGAGCCTGCGCCCGTTTTTTGTGCCGGCTTTTGCGACGGCTAGAGTTGAGATGCTGAAGTGTCCACTATACATGCACTTTGGCGAAAGACATTCAGCATAAGAAAAAAAACGCGTGGTAACTGGCCGAAACAAATGCCTTTTGGCATTGCAGCCTACTGAGAGCTGGCCGTGAAGGATGCCTGAAATTCAGCATTCAAGCCCAATGAAAAGTGGCCGTGAAGCATGCCTCATGGCATCTTAAAGCTGAAGATGAGGCCCAGCTAGGCCGTGAGGGACGCATGCCATTCTATACTTCAACTAGGCGGTGAAGTTAGAAGGTGGGGAGCTTTCACCGCCAGCGTTGTTGCCCCAGCACACCGGGACCCCATTGAGAGTTAAGGCGCATGCATGCTGAAAGCCGACTGACAGCTCGGCATAAGCTTCATCGTTTGCGGGCAAGCCCAGAGTGGAAGCTTGCTCCCCGAAGCACTGGATGCGGCTATCTGCTGTTCTAATTCCGCAGACTTTCCTGAAACCCGCGGAGACGTGCGTGAATGCGACATCTGCCGGTGGTGGCGCCCTCACATCCGAAATTCTACCGTTACCATCTGCATAGCCCCAACACGTGATTGTTCCCGCAGGCTTGCGCACACCGCAGGTAGCCATCAGTGTACTGGAGATAGCCAAGAGTGGCTCATCGACGGGTGGTTGTTGATTACCGAGACCTTCTCCCCAGCACTGCGGCTTACTATCTGCTGTTCGGAGGCCGCAGGTGAAGAAGTTTCCTGCCGACATTGCGCTCAAAGAAGTATCAGGAGCTTCGAGCTCACCAAGAATATTCTTGCCCCAGCAAACTGGTCTTTGCTGAGCATTCAGAGCACAAGCGTGTGACCCGCCGACCTGGATGCCGGTAACCGGCTCGGCAGGGGCTGTGAGATTTGGCCCTGCTGTAGGCATGTTACTACCCCAACAGACAGCCATGCTGCTGGATGCGACGATCCCGCAGCAATAAGCAAGGCAGGACAGTTCACTTAATGCGACGGCTGGCACTGTTCCGATGGTTGTGGCATCGCCCCAGCACACGGGGAAGTTGTCCTCTTTCTTCAAGGCGCATGTGAAGGCGACGGTGGAGAGTCCTGCCGAAATGCGCATAGGCCCGTCGGTGCTGGTGGTGGAGGTGGTCATGGTGGTGCTGGCACTGGTGGTCATGGCCAAAGTCGTCGATGTCAAGGCGCCATACTTGCGCCAGTGCCGGTGCCAGGGCTGTAGCCAGTACCTTGGGCGGTATGGCCCGCGTAGCTCTGACTCGCTGGCCGTTTCATCCTGGGCCGCAGTGCAAACCCACACAGCGACCTAAATTCCAAAAACCCAAAAGCTCCAAAACCCTTATATAAACCCAAAACCCCTCACCTTAAACCCAGAACCCTACACGACCGCAAACAAATGGAAAGAAAGCAGCACAACGACTGCAATGGAGCATTTCATCCACAAAACCCTTCGTGAGATAAAGTGCCCTAATCAATCTATGTGGCTGAATTGAACCATTCTCACCAAGTCGATAATGGCTCTATGGTTCTTGTCAATCAACAGGGCCATGTACTCTCGTTGCAACAGCATCCATCAAGCAAGTTCACGTATGCTTTCTGGACAGCATATATATATATGTAATATATTCATGTCCAAGCATCGACACCTGTTCCGAGCTGGAGCGTGCTGAAGCTGTCGCAGGTATCTGCAGTCGGCGGGGAGCCAGGCGCGGCGGTAGCATGGCCGAGTGCTACCAGAAGAGCGGCTACAGTGGCTGCCAGCATCCAAGATGCCATCCCTGTCCTCTGGGAGAAGGCGGCCTCTGAAAAGTTGGGATTCAGTAAGGCGCTGGGAGCCTCTTGGAGCCCGGGCTGCGCGGTGAAGGTATAACGTCTATCAGATTATTGCTGTACGGTACTGTAAGATGAAGTTGACATAACATGGGTCTAACATATCACGGAAGTAAGTCTTCACTCATGATCGTTCCAGAGGCATTCTGACAGGTAGAGGTCATATCTGAAATGAAAAGCTGCTCCATGTCACTCATAGTCTTTCACCCTCCAAACTCTATGATAAGGGCAACCCCTACGCCCTAGACCCTTAAACGCCTAGACCCCCAAACCGCCAAACCCCTAAACCCCTAAACCCTAAACCCCCCAACCCCCAAATCCTAAACCCCCAAACCCCTAAATCCTAAACTCCTAAACCCCTAAACCCTAAACCAAGTCACTGTATAGAGACCGGAACTCGAGCCTCGGAGTTGGCAGTCTCCAGAGTGTTGGACACCTTCCACAAGCTTTAGGAGTTTAGGTCAATAATCCTAAGACTTCAAAACCCTGAACTCCTAGGATGTGGCCGGTCTCCAAACAATTTTCACAAGTTTTAGGAGTTTGGGGGTGTGGGTGTTCAAGATTGGTTTATGGCTTTGCGGATTACGCGGGCTGAGCGTTTAGGGTTTAGGAGCGCGGGGCTTTGGGCGACTGTTTTGGGGGTAGGCTTACGGGTCTAGGTTTAGGGTTAGAACTTCAGCTGGGCTCAAGGCTTAGAGTCTATAGGCTCTTAGGAAGCTGCAGGGTAGTACCGCCCCGTGATGAAGTCGCGCCCGCCTGATGCAACTTCGAGGACTCCGCACCAGAGAGGTTCGTCCGGACAGACCAGCCGCCTCCAATGCGCCAGCATTGCGGCTTTGGGTGTTATTATAAGTTGTTGGGGTTGCAATGAAAGAACCATGAAGGTGATACAGCCGCAGGCCGATCCTCAACCAATGGAAACCGAGGAGCTTGCCACATCGAAAGCTCGAGAAGAGCCTGCACCCGTTTTCTGTGCCGGCTTTTGCAACGGCTAGATTGCTAGATGCTGAAATGTCCGCTGTACATGCACATTGGCGGAAAGACATTCAGCATAAAAAACCTCGTGATAAATGGCCGATACAAATGCCTTTTGGCATTGTAGCCTACTGAGAGCTGGCCGTGAAGGATGCCTGACATTCAGCATAAAAGCCCAATGAGAAGTGGTGAAGCATGCCTTATGGCAGCTTAAGGCTGAGAGCTGGCCGTGAAGGATGCCGTTTCGCACAGGGTATCAACCCTTGCCCAAAGGGTCCTATGTACTGTGATGGGGGATACTTCCCTAAGTCATAATAGTAATTCCTAATATGGAAACACTACAGTTCTACTATATCGGTACAAAGGACCCTTTGGGTTGTGAATTGAGCTAGGCGGTGAAGTTGGAGGGCGGGGAACTTTCACCGTAATTGTTTTGACCCCAGCACACTGGGACCCCACTGAGAGTGAGGGCGCATGCATGGTAAAAGCCTACTGACACCTCGGCATAAGGTTCATCGTTTGGGGGCAAGCCGAGATTGAAAGCAGTCGCCCCGAAGCATTGGATGTGGCTGTCAGTTGCAGCTATGCTACAAAACTTGTGTAAACCCGCGGCGATGTGCGTGAATGCAACGTCTGCAGGTGGTGGCGACGACCACACGTCCGCAAGTCGGCCTTCATCAATCTCACCCCAACACGCGATTGTTCCGCTTGCCTGGCGTATTCCGCATGAAGCCTTGCTTGTACTGGAGACAGCCGAAAGTGGCTCATCGACGGGTGAGGAGTGAAAACTCAAGCTTCCTCCCCAGCACTCTGGCTTATTGTCTGCTGCTCGAAGACCACAGCTCCAGCCGTCTCCTCCTGGCGTCACTGCGCTCAGGGAAACATCAGGAGCATCGAGCTGAATAGCATCATTATCATTCTACGCACCCCAGCAAACTGCTCTTTTCTCAGCATTCAGAGCACAAGCTTGCTGTCGGCCGACCCGGTGGCCCGTGAGGGGTTCGGCAGGCGCTGTGAGATTCTGCCCTGTTGGAGTTTCACCACCCCAACATATAGCCATGCTGCTCGATTCCTCGATCCTGCAGCAGTACGCACTGCAGGACAGCTCACGTAATGCGACCGTTGGCACTGTTCCGATGCTTGAGGCCAAGCCCCAGCACACGGGGAAGTTGTCCTGCTCCTTCAAGGCGCATGTCATAAGGAGTCCTGCTGAAATTCGCGGGAAGCCGGTGTCGGTAATGCTGGGCACTGTGGTGCTTGACGTCATGCCGGAGTCGTCGACCGATGTGAACGCGCTGCTGGTGGTCATGGCCGGGGTCGTCGATGTCACGGCGCCGTACTTGCGCCAGATCTGTCCCTTGTGGATGCGGTGCCACGGCTGGCGCCAGTGCCTGCGAACTCGTCGGTATGGCCCTCGTAGCTCTGACTCGCTGCTCGCCTTTGCGTCCTGGTCGGAAATGTTAATTCGGTCCATGCTGCAAACCCAAGCAGAATCCCAAGCCCTAAACGCCAAAACACCAAAACCCCTAAATCTGGCTTGAACAAGGGGCCCTTACTGAAAGCAAATTGGGGTCTCTGGGTACCTGGGGTCACCGAAACAATGGATTTGGGGTCGTGTTGTCTAGGTAAACAAACGGAAAGAAAACATCAGAACGACAGCACAGAAACGATCGATTCTCACAATCCTTCATGACATGAAGTGACCCGATCTATGCGTGCGCACTGACACTTTCTCATCTTCAGCAATGCCATCTGCCCTCGTAGCCAAAGCCATTCACCCTAAACATTAAATCCAACACCCAAAACCCCTGAACCTTCTAGGCAGCTTTCAAGTCCAAGCATCGACACCTGTTCCGAGCTGGAGCGTGCTGAAGCTGTCGCAGGTATCTGCAGTCGGCGGGGCGCCAGGCGCGGCGGTAGCATGGCCGAGTGCTACCAGAAGAGCGGCTACAGTGGCTGCCAGCATCCAAGATGCCATCACTCTCTCAAATTTGGGAGCGGACGGCCTCTAAAAAGTTGGGATTCAGTAAGGCACGGGAGCCTCTTGGAGCCCGGGCTTCGTGCAGAAGGAGTAACAGCAGTGCGTCTCTCATACAATACTGTACGATACCGTAAGATGGTATTGACATAACATAGTCCGGCATACCACGGTGAGAGTTGGCATAGTCTGCCTGAGCTCACATTTCGAGGAAATTCCCAGAGACTCCAATATCCCTTAGTTAAGGAATATTCATTAAATCATATTAGGGATCCTACTATAATTTAAGGAATATTCCCTAATTAAGGGATATTGGAGTCTCGAGGAAATTGGCTTGAACGAGGAGTGCATGCAGCTGTGAGACTGGCAGCCTTCACTCATGGCCAACGGTCCACTCTCCGATTTGAAGCTTCCTTCCCAAAAGGCTTCATGTCACTATGACCCCAAGGGTCCAAGTACCCAATAATCATATACTCTCCAAAATCCTAACCTACATAACTACTATCCTAAAACCGAGTACCTGATTATTGGGTCCTTTGGACCCTTGGGGTGAGGTTTCTACCAAAGTCCCTGATATAAGAACCCCGCCAAAGTCAATATACGGAGATCAAAGCCGGCCGTAAAGCTGCCTACACACCCAAACCAAACCCCTCAGCCCCCAGACCTCCCCATACTAAACCCTAAACCCTAAAAACCCTAAAACCCTAAACCCTAAAAACCCTAAAACCCTAAACCCTAAAAACCCTAAAACCCTAAACCCACAGACCCCCCCAATACTCAGCCTCGTATCTGCCAAGCTTCGGACACCTGAGACCCAGGCTTTGTTGTTCTTGATGCTTTCCATGGCCTTATCGGGTGTATGGGGCTTTCAATGGCTTTTCATGGTTGGATAATCTCTATTTCCTAGTGGTGCTCTCTGTGGTTTCCCAGAGCTGCAGACGCTCTTCTTTTGTGGTGGCTTCGCTGGTTTCGAAGGCTGGTTGGTGAGCTTTCTATTGTCGTCCAGGGTTTTATAGTGATTTGCGAACTTGCAGCGACTCAGGCTTTGCCAAGTGGTGTAAAAAGTGGCACATGTTGTAAACGATATATTTAAGGAAAGGGGGGGGGGTATTTACCCTATAAGGGTCCTAAGGGTCCGGGCACTGTAGGGAACCTCAAAATATAGAGTTTCTAGAGTCCCAAGGAGGCCCGATGTCTCTCCCTAGGAGATTCCGGACCCTCCATAAGCTTTATACAACGGTACCTTTGACATTCCTTTAGGGCCTTAAGGGTTAAGGGTTTCGTGCTTAGGGTGTTATAGTATAATGTAGGAACCTCAAAATAATTGGAATAGGGTTTCTTTAAAGGGGTCTATAAGGGTTACTGCAAGGGATCTATGAGGGTCATCTTTGAGATTCAAGTAAATTTGGGAGTTTCCGAAAATGGGGGACCCTAAAATAACACCCTAAACAGTAGGATCAAACTCCCATAACAGCTTAGGGTTAGGGTTTAGCGTTGAGGGTTTAGGGGGTTAGGGTTTAGCGCTGGAGGGTTTGGGGGGTTAGGGTTTAGGGGTTTAGGGCTTAGAGGGGTTTAGGGTTTAGCGTTGAGGGTTTAGGGGGTTAGGGTTTAGGGTTTCTGGTTTAAGGTTTGGGGGTTTAGGGTTTGGGAATTTAGGGTTTGGGAGTTTAGCCACTTTGTGGTGGCGGATTGGGCCAGCATTCCTTGTTTTTCTCACTACCGAACCACCCAACATGGGCCTCGCAATTCGAACTGGGATAAACAGGGTTACAGGGTTCCTTTTACGGGCTCCGCCTAGGGTGGTTTAAATGCTTGTGACAGGGATTCAGGGCTTAGGGTCTACCAACCATAGCGGCCTGAATAATTTGCCTGTAGGGTTTTGGGTTTCAGGATCATGGGACTTAGTATTACATAGGGTTATAAAGCAGGTAATAACTGTAAACATCTAATCTAAACAATAGTTGCTTAGAGCATCCAAACTGAGTTACTTAATCCTTACTTGCGAAGTCCCATGATCCTCAAGCAATGACGAAAGGATGGATGGGACCACCGCAAGCAGTACACTCTGCAAGGAGCTAATTACTTTTACTACAGCCACTCTGGTCCTTGGTGGCTGGGGGAGGGGGTGACAATTTCAGACTCCGATACGCTGCGGGATAGTCGGGCTCTGAGTACAGCCTGAAACTTGAAACCTCAAACTCGTGTCATCCAGAACCGTGAGCCCCAAATCCTACGCTCTGCAGCCTCCTAACGACGAACACGTGTAATTAGACCCCAAGTCACTACGCCCTCAATCCTGAGCATTTAGCCCTAAACGCTATAAGCCCTAAACCTTGAACTATAACTAAACGCTCAGCCGTGTTGAATCCTAATTCGACCCCTAAACCCCTGAAGCCTGACACAAAACACGTCGCCTGGCAACCTGCACCCTGAAGCCGACATCCGAAACCTCCACTTCCAGCCCTACGGAATCCGAACCTTGAGTCTCAACCTCTACCCAGAGGGTCCAAAGTACCAACATAGTAGAATGTAGGGTTTCTATGTTAGGAATTACGATAATGGTTTGGGGAAGTACTCCCCCTAACAGTACCTAGGACCCTTTGGGCTCGGGTTCAGGGTTGAGGGTTTGTAGGGCTCAAGGTTTAGGGTCTAGGCCCGCTTAGAGTCTAGCGAATCTAGGGTTTAGGTAGCAAGTGGCTCGCTACAAGGATCTTCATAGGGGTGCGGTATGTTTTGCTTTAGGTTTGGTTGTGCTTTGTTTGTGTTCGACTTCTCGTTACAAGGCTTATGAGGCTTTCTAATCTACAACCGAGGGTCCTAACACTTTGGGGAACCTCAAAATGAAGGATTCCTGAGACCCCAGAAAGACCCAAAGACTCTGCCTCGGAAATTCCGGACCCTCCTAAGCAGATACCTGGACCCTCTCTTGGAGGGTCGGTATGGGACTTAGTAACTAGGTAAAAAGTAGAGTTATAAGTACCTTTAAAGGGACCCTACTCGGGGATATGGTACTTATAACTCTCTAAAGCGACTACTTAGTAAGTCCCCCCCGACCCTCCAAGTAACCCCTAAACCCCTATAGATCCCTTTAAGGAGCCCCTTCAGGAACCCCTCAAGGATCCCTTTAAGGAACTACTTAGTAAGTCCCCCGACCCTCCAAGCATGGGTAATCTGTGCACCCTCCACTCCACAAAAGGGAGCCCACCGTCGCGGGCGCCTAAGCACTCACCAAATCCCGCTAATCCACCCTATAGGAGGGTCCGGGAGAGCCCTTGTTTCTCTTTGGGGCTCAGACATCCTACATTTTGAGGTTCCCTAAAGTTTTAGGTCCCTTAGGGTAATCCCGTAACATTGTAACCCCATAGCCCATAGTATATACCACACGGTTTGCCACAACGTCTTTAATTACAGATGACGAGTTGCGGAACCCTAAACCCTAAACCCTCGACCTGAACCCAAGCGTGAACCCTAAATCCTAACACCCCTAAAACCGCCGATTAAGACTGGGTTGCATGCACAAAAGTTGCCCGCGGCGGAGTCACCGTAGGCCCGCAGCAAGCATCCCCCAAAACAGAGCGTTTAGGGCGTAGGAGAAGCATACGGCTCTGGGAGGCGTAAGGGTCCACTGGTGTAAGCCTATTATAAGGGTTTAGGGTTTGGGGTAATTATCGGGTTTAGGGCCCTGAGCTGCGGGGTCCTGAAGCCTCGGGGGGGGCTGAGGATCAGAGGATTCACAGTGTCGGTGTAACTGGCAAAGCTGTGCGGCTTCAACCTGCTGTCGGTGTAGGGCATATCATCGCATGTTTGGCTATGCTGTAAGCTTTCAAACTTTAGGATTGAGGGTTCGAGGCTGCAGCGAAGATGAGCCAAGGTTAGGACTTGTTTCAAACCCCAAACCATAAACCCTAAAATCCTAAACGCTGGCGTCGATGTATATCTGAACTGTAGTCACCTGCTGCATGGTTCCCAAACCGTACGAGCCTTGAAGCCTTCACACCCTAAAACCCCAAAAGGCCTCAAACCAGACACCCATACCAAATATCCCTTGAAAAACTAAACTTACTCTATGACCTTAAGCCTTAAGCCCTGAACGCTTACAGCCTCAAGCCTTAACTTCCTCAACACGTCACCCGAAAACCGTAACCCGCCCCCCGCCCCCCCCCTAATCAGAAGGTTTAGGGTGTATAGAAACTGAAACACGGGGCAACCCAGGAGCAGAACACCTCTCTTTTCTGTGCTCCAGCATTGCCCCGCGTATGAACCCAAACTCTTAACCTTTCAGCTGGTTCCAGCCAAGCCCGACAGGTGCAAGTGAAATGTAAAACCGCAAGCCACAGCGGTAAATCCCTGAACCCCTGACCCACTCTACACCAGCGGTGTTGGCTGTCAGGTTATGTTGCTAGATGTTGCGATCTGCATGTACAGGCTGGGGCTCTGGGATTAGGCAAACGCTCTTGATTTCAAAAAAGCCATGGGTAGTTATACATGGGGTTATAAGTATGGTAACCATAATTATCACCCATACTAGGGGACGTATAACCCTACTTAGAACTACAAAAAACGCCATGGGTGAAAGCCAGCAGGACTACGTTGCTTGCAAGAGCACTGAGTACCCCAAGCTCCGAACCCGAAACCCTACGGTTGATGACGGAAATCCTGAATTATTTTAAGGACCAGAAACTATGGGAATTATGGTATATTCCTTACTCTGGGTAATGCAGGGTTTATACCATCAACCGTATCCCCAAAAGGCCGGATATCTTCTTGGGTTCTTCTTCGGGAGCTACCAGTAAGTTACGATGTCGCGGATTAGGGTTTAGAATTTAGGGCAAAGTTCGTATTGCTTACTCTATGTCACTAGTTGGCAAGGTGTACCACTAAACCTTCTAAAGTTTCAGTAAGGGCACCTGGTTTCCGAGTATGCAGCCTTAGTGGGGAGATACCAATATAAAAAGCGTACGAGCCACCGGTAACGCTGGGCGAGCTGATATGTACCGTCT